TGCTCTTGTCATGTTCAACTTTCACTTCCAGAATACACACATATACATGCATGCACACCAGACATGTAGCCTAGACCTCAAAAACAACTCCTTATCTCTGGCTAAATATTTGCCATTCATTTCTTATGGTAGAATTGTGAAATCTGTGTTCATGATTCAGGAGCACTTCAAAAGGTTTGAATTAAGTAGAGGCATTGTCACCCAGAGCCAGGCTCCCGGCACAGCTCCAAAAAGTGATAATCACAGCATGATCTAGGTCAGAGGCCGACAAACGAAGGCCCGTGGGCCAAGTCCTGCCCACCACCTGTTTTTGTAGTTTTGTCGGAACCCAGCCACACCCATTCGTGCAGTGTTGGGGGCTGCTTTCCTACTGTGCCCTTACAGAACAAGTTGGCCAAGGCCTGGTATATATGAGACACGCCCTGCCCCTCAGAGGAGGGCACAGCCTGCTCGTCCAAACAAAATGGCTCCGTTGGCAGCCTCATGAAGTATGCTGTAAAACTGTTTGAGGACGCCGAATTTTTATGTGTAAGCGAACAGGCTGTTAGTGTAGCTTAAGCTCTTGCCCTGTGCCAATGCTGTGTGGTGCTGGGGATTTGGCAGTGAGCCAGACACTGGCCCCATTCTCCAGCTCGTCAGCCAGCAAGGAAAATGGGTATCACATTTCTTGGGTAGATCGTCCCTTACCTGCGCATCAGAGGTGCTGGGACTACAGATGAGGATTTGCACATTACTGTCCTGTCATCTAAGGTCACCAAAGGCTGAGTTGGGTGGGTGAGCGAGCGCAGACCCTGACGAGTACTGACAGCTGCTTCCCAAGGGCAAGAGCCTGAGAAGATGCTGCTAGGGAGCAAGGAGAAAAACAGGAGACATGAGCATAGAACCTAAGGGGGAGTGTGTTTCTAGGAGATGAGTGAGGTTGGACATAAAAGGAAGTAGAAGTAACTACTTTGAAGTAATTCCAGTAGCAGTCAGGTATATAGTGCTTGCTGTGTGCCAGGCCATGTTCTAAGCGCGTCATCCATTTAATCCCCACAGCAAACCCACAGCTAACTATCTAAATATGACACTTAAAGGTTAATCGACTTGATGAACATATTTACTGAATGTAAGGCACTATGTTATGTGTGGAACATAAAAAATACGAAATTTTCTCACACAGTAGAGAGTTTCAAACCTGCTGGTACTGAGGATAGTTATGGTAATGTAGCGAGTATTTCAGTGTTGGCATTTATTCATAGTTTTGGTAGCACAGTTCCCCCTTTCCTGATCCTCAGTTGAAACTAGTCTTGTGGTAAATCCCATCTTTAAGCTCCTGGCTCTCAGTTTTTTAATATCTGCCATCTAGACCTCATCCCTGAGCTCAAGTCCTGTGTTTCCCAGCTGTCTAGTCAGCATGTCCTTGTAGATGTGTAGACAGTGGCTGAGACTTGAACTCCTAACACCCGCCCTCACTTCATCTCCGGAAATGGCAGCCCCTTCCTTCTCGCCGCTTGGCCAGAGCTGTTAGAGCCGGACCCCTCTTCCTCGCGCACCCACTTGAGCAGTTACCAGACACTGTCTGCTCTGTACTCAGAATTTATCCAGACTCTAACCGCTCTTCACTTCCTCAGCCTCCGCCCTCACCCAAGCCATTAACCGTCTTTCACTCGGATTGTGACTGTGGCCTCTAACTGGTTTCCCTGCCCCTGCCCTACAGTTTTGTTTTCCACGCAACGCCTAGAGTGAGCCTCCGGAAACAGAAGCCAGTTAATGACTCCTTTGCTCCAGACTTCGCAGTGGTTTCCCATCTCATTGAGGGTAAACCCTAGGTCCTTAGAATGGCCTAGAAGCCCCCATGTGATCTGGGGACACACCTTGCCGCCACCTCTCTGTCCTCATCTCCTCCCACTGCCCCCATGCTCCCACTGATCCAGCCACACCAGCCACCTCCCTGGTATTTATGCTCCTGCCTCTGAGGCCTCCATACTAGGTCTTCTTTTCACCTGGAATCCTTACCCCCTGGGTATCTTCATGCCTTACCTTTTAGTTTCTTTGTGGCAAGGCCCACATGCCCCCTTCTCAGAGCGGTCTTCTCCGGTCGCTTTATATTAAAAATATCACCCACCTCCACCACTGTATGAAATTGCCCCCTTTCCTTGCCTTGGTTTTCTTCATAGTACTTACCACTATCTGACACATTTATCTTTCTCATTTACTAGAATATAAGCTCCTTGAGGGCAGGAATTTTTGTCTCTTGTTAACTGCTGCATCCCCAGTGCCTACAGCAGTGCTTGGCGTGAAATTGACATTCATGCCCACATGCTGAATGAATGAGCAAATAAAAAAAGTACACTGGATATTTTTGTAGAACTCAGTCAATATAAGGGCTAGAATTTGGGCCCCGTGGAATCTCTCAATCTCTCTGTCTCTCTCTCTCTCTCTCCTTCAATAACAAAATCATTCCAGATTTTCTTTATGCTATTTGTGGGAGCTTTACTACTAACTTCTTTAGTCTGTGGAGAGAGTCTTAACTTGAGGTCATCGGCCAGGACATAATATGTGTCCTGCAAGATTATCTATAATTATTTTCCTTCATTAGGGAATCTGCATGCCGCCAGCTCCCCCAGTGGGGCTTTGAGAGCCCCTTCACCAGCGTCATTTGTTCCAACTCCTCCCCCATCCTCGCATGGAATCTCAATAGGACCAGGGGCCAGTTTTGCTAGTCCACATGGTGAGTCTGTACATGGAAATCGCAATAGCGTAAGAATTTGACGTGAAAGTCTTTTTTTTGTTAAATAAATTATTTTCTTATTGCAAAAGTAGCACTCTGTTTATTGGGGAAATCGCAAAAGAATGAATTTGTCCTAATCCCACCACTCAGAGATCTACCAGTTGGCTTGTCTGCTTGGAACCCTCTGTCTCTCTCTCCCTTGCCCTGCCTTTCTCTTCCCGTCACGCACCCCCTGCTTGCCTGCCTGCTTGCATCTCTGCTGCTCTCCACCTGTCTGCTCGTCTCTCCCCTCAGACACCTCCCCCCACAGTTGGGACTGTACCATATGTATTGAGACTTGGATTTTCTAACTTTTTAACTAAAAATATTCTATTTTGAATTGGTTTAAATAAAGAATACAAGAGGGAGCCAGTGAAGGGTTTCTATGCCACCAACCACCTACTTCCTCTTCCCAGAGGCATTTAGTGTTATTAATTTCTCATGTGTTCTTGCAGAGATGTTTTATGCCTGCACATGCAGATACCTGTAAGTGTTCTCTCCCCTTCCTTTTCACACTCATGATAGCACACTTCAGTGCCTTATTTTTTTCATTTATTTTATCCTAATGCCATGCCAAATCACAACATGAAGAATTTCCTCAGTTTTTACAGCTATGTAGCATCTGTGGTTTTTTCTCTACTATTAATATTTGTAGGAACATTTCTGTCAGTAAAAACTCTACATCATCATACTAAATGGCTTCATAGTATTCCCTTGTCTTAGCATACCATAATTTAACTGTCCTATCATATGTTTAGAATGTTCCTTTTTTTTTTTTTTTAACAACTAAAAATGGTACCATCTCTGCTCACCTATTTCCTTAGGTTAGTTCCTAGAAGTGGAATTGCTGTCTCAAAGGGTTTGAGAAATTCTAAACCTTTTGAAACATATTGTAAATTGCTCACCTGAAGGGCTATATCAATTTCCTCTAGCAGCAAACAAGAGTGTCTATTTTCCTGCATCATTGCCAACACAGGGTGTTATGATTTTCAGAAATCTTGGTCATTTTGATAGGTGAAAATTTCTTGGATTATTAATGAAATTGAACCTCCCCCCCCCCCCATGGGTCTTTGGTATTTCTCATTTTATGCATGCCTATATATTCTTGTGTTTTTTTCTTAACTATAAGACTGGAAGTTGGGACCATTTACTCTCCTCTGATACATGGTAAAAGTATTTTCTCCATATAATATGTTAAAAGTGTCTGCAGGATAAAATTTAAATATTAAATTGTTCAGGAAGTTGCTGCTTTCAAAACTTGATTCTTGGTTCATTTCTCAGTGTAGCCTAAAGAAAATGGGAAATGTTCCATAAAGAAAATGGAAAATTTCCCTGTCCTCAGCCTTGAGTAGAAAGAAAACATAATTTGTCAGAGTTACTTGAAAAGTAGGTTTCTGCCCTTAAGTGAGCTTTGAGATTTTCTTGCTCAGCATTTTCAGCCATGTTTACAAATAAACTTTGAAAATAGTAGGTTGTTAACACATTGTCCACATTGAAGCTCGGGTGAAGGTATAAATTTTATCCTGCCTCAGTCTGTATTTTTCTAATTTTGTATCATGTTAAGAAGCATCATACTTCAGTGAAATAGCGAAAGAAAAAATAAAATGATCACCTTGTAAGGTGTCGAGTGTTTCAGTGCTGTCAAGTACTTTTTAGTTATTAAAATATAGGTTTTGAAAGCCATCTGTTTACTTATTTACAGGAACCCTGGACCCTAGTTCTCCATACACTATGGTGTCACCAAGTGGACGAGCCGGGAACTGGCCAGGGTCTCCTCAAGTGTCTGGCCCCTCGCCAGCAACGCGCATGCCTGGAATGTCACCAGCCAACCCATCACTACATTCTCCGGTTCCAGATGCTTCTCATTCCCCTCGAGCTGGAACAAGTGAGTGTCATTTTTGTGTTAGTTTTTAGTTTAACCTCCAAATGACCTATTTTTTTCCATCCTCACATTTGAAAGCCGTGACCTACTTGTTAAATGGAGATATTTAATAACTTAAAACTTTTATCCACTTAGTAAATTAGTTAACAATAGTCAGTTTGCAAAGTTCAGAGAAATCTCTCCTCCAGAAGTCTGGTGAGGTGAGCCCCTTTGTTCTGTTTACTAACTTAGCTACGAGACCTTAAAAGACACCTAAAGTTAACTGACAAGGTTATGCAAGTTAACACAGAACAGAATTGTACACGTGTTAGTTAGCTTTGCTGCGTGTAACATTTAATGACTTAAAACAATTTTATATTAACTCACCATTGTGTCGCTTGGCAATTTGGGCTAAGCCAAGCTGGGCAAGTTTTCCAGGCTCTGTTTTGCTCACTCATGATTCTGTGGTCAGCTCCTGGGTTGGCTGGGGCCTGGCTGGCCTAAAATGGTCCCAGCTGGTGTGGCTTCCTCTTCCATGTGGTCTCATACTCGAACACAGGCTTGTTCACCTAGTGAGTAGACATGGTTTCAAAAACATGAGTGAAACCCTAGGTTTGCCGCTGGCACCATGTCACTTCTGCATTCGTAAGTGACAACAAGTCACAAGGCTAGCCCAGATTCCAGGTAGAGAAGTAGACTCCATCCCTTGAAAGACTTGCTACAAAGCCACTTTGCAAGGTCCCTAGCTACGGGGAGAATAATTCTGGCCATTTTGCCAGCAAAAAGCTAACATGATTGTTACAACACAAGGAGTAATGAACAGTATGGATTGCTTTGAAATATCAAAGATTTATAATAAAAGCAAAGTAGAACGAGACAGTATATATTTGTAAATGAAATGGTATGTTTTCCTTCCCAAAAGGTTCCCAAACTTTGCCAACAAACATGCCTCCACCTCGTAAACTACCTCAGCGCTCCTGGGCAGCCTCCATACCTACCATCCTCACTCACAGTGCCTTGAACATTTTACTGCTGCCCTCTCCAACACCAGGCCTTGTGCCTGGCCTGGCAGGTAGTTACCTTTGTTCTCCACTTGAGAGATTCCTTGGATCGGTCATCATGAGACGACACCTTCAAAGAATTATTCAACAAGAAACGGTACGGGTACCTAGTGAACTCAGAAGTGGTGGTTGTCGAAGGCGGGTGCTAAGCTGCCCCACAGAACAGGATCTGAATGAAATCCATAATCCTTCACCTCCTTTAACTAGCTTGTTAGAACTGTGCTTTTCGGGGCATCTGGGTGTCTCAGTCGGTTAAGCGTCCAACTTCGGCTCAGGTCATGATCTCACGGTTCGTGGATTCAGGCCCTGCATCGAGCTCTGTGCTGGCAGCCAGCTCAGAGCCTGGAGCTTGCTTCAGATTCTGTGACTCCCTCTCTCTCTGACCCTCCCCTGCTCACTCTCTCTCTCTCTCTCTCTCAGAAATAAATAAAACATTAAAAAAAATTTTAAACAACTGCTTTTCACTCCACTGTAGCATTAAAAATGCACTCCATGATTTTCTTTTCCATTCTTAAAGTGACATATTCCTGCATTTTATAGTTTGCTGTGCTGTACCTAACATGGACCTATAGATAGGTCCCACAAGGTCCCCACAATACCACAGGACAAACGCACCGAGGATCTGGCTCTGCAGAGGATAGCGTACAAGCGACTGTTTGCCCTCTGGAATTGGCTTCTCCACTGAAATAAAATTATTTATGATCACAAGGTTGAAAACTCCTTTTGCAATACATGGACAATTGAATTGATTTAAAATTTTTATAGAAAAACCTTCTGTCCTGTGGTGATACCCTTCCAAGATAGTTCAGGGTTGACCGCTTGGCCATGCCACATGCTAGTACAAGCTTAGGCAAATCTCTTCCCCTTTTTGATAAGAGTAGATAATGGTATTTACCTGCCTCTTAACAATTGTGGGAATTTGAGATATTTCATAGAAAGCCCTTAGCATAATGTCTTGGTATTTTTCAGTACATTTTAGTTACTGGCAACTATTTATGTATGTGTTAATGAAGTAGAATGGTGAACATTTAAAATAATCCACTCCACGGATGGCACCAAGGTACTTTGCAACCTTTATGTTCAGATTTTTTAAAAAATCAAGGTTTTAACATAAGTATTTAAATAAATACTTAATAAGTACATAATTAGTATTTTAAAAAATGGCTATTATGAGACCTATAATCCTCTCTGCCTCTTACCTCTGCCACTTGATAAGCCTTGTACACTTTCAGCTCTTTGAACTTCATTTTGCTCATCTGCATAATCAATATATTAAGCTAGAGCAGAGGTCAGTAAAGTACTGGCCCAGGGGCCAAGTCCTATCTGCCACCTGTTTTTGTAAATAAGGTTTTACTGGAACGCAGTCATACCCATTAATCTACACACTGTCTGTAAATTCAGCTACGATGGCATCATTGAGTGGTTGCAACAGAGACCATATAGCCTAAGGTGAGTATTCTCTGTTACTTTACAGAAAAAATTGCCAACCCCTGGGCCAGTATAAGGTCCCAGTCCAAATCTAATATTGCATCCCTTTGGAATTATTTTACGTGTTCTTTTGTCCCTCATATTTCTGTGATCTTGGTCCATCCCGCAGATATAACTACTGAGTTCAGGCTCAAGTTTGTGTTTATTTTAAAAAACTGTTCCATAGGTTGTGTTTTGTTCTTCCATCAAGAGATACGTCACGTACAGTTTCTTCTTGATGTTAGCAGCTAATGGTGCTCATTGCCTAGATGTTTTTGTTTGGGAACGGGTATCAACTTCCTTGTTTTTTCTTTGAAACCGTTCTCAGCATTTTCATTTCCTCTTTGTCTTACATGCTGTCTCACATGTTCACTTGATGCGCCCTTCATGTTTTACAGCTGCAGCTGATAAATTCCAACGAACCCGGAGTGATCATGTTTAAAACTGATGCGCTGAAATGCAGAGTAGCCCTTAGTCCCAAAACCAACCAGACACTTCAGCTAAAAGTGACACCTGAAAATGCAGGACAGTGGAAACCTGATGAACTTCAAGTTTTGGAGAAATTCTTTGAAACAAGAGTATGTGTTTATTAACGCGTAATTTTAATACAGGCATACCTCTTTTTTTTGCACTTTGCCTCATTGCACTTCGCAGATACTGTTTTGTTTTTGTTTTTGTTTTACAAATTGAACATATGTGGCAATCCTGCACTGGGCAAGTCTATTGGGGCCATTTTCCCAACAGCATTTGGTTACCTCATGTCTCTCTGTCACATTTTGGTAATTCTTGCAATATTCCAGACTTCATTATTTGTTACGGTGATCAGTGATTATTACTCCCTGAAAGTTCAGAGATGCTTAGCGTGTTTTAGTAATAAAGTATTTTTTAATTAAGATACGTACCCTCTTTAGACATAATGCCGTTGCACACTTAACAGACTACACTATGGTGTAAACATAACTTTTATATGTGCTGGGAAACCAGAAGATTCATTTGACTTAGCTTTATTGCAATATTTGCTTTATTGTGGTCTGGAACTGAACTCACATCTTGAAAGTCTGCCTGCGTACTCAACAGAAGAATCAAAGTAGAATGCAGAGTAACTTGCTTTATTTATCCCTGTAGGTTGCAGGACCGCCATTCAAAGCCAATACTTTAATAGCCTTCACCAAGCTGTTAGGAGCTCCTACACACATCCTCAGGGACTGTGTGCATATTATGAAGCTAGAGCTGGTAAGTTACAGAGAAATACATACTTATGTATAACAAGATCTGTCTGAAGAGGTTGGAGTTGGTGGGAGCAGTGTTTATTGGTTTTTACTTATTTATGTATGTACCTCTGCTTTTCTCTTAAACTCTTCTTAATTTTTAACTTGAATTTTACTATCTTTGAATAAGTAATACAGTCTTTCTGTATCTTTTGAACTTAGATCAAGATGGTACAGTGGAAAATTTCCCATCTATCTCTATCTAGCCATCCAGTCTCCCTCCCCACAGGCAACTGGGGTTGTACCTTTAATAAAAGCAAATACATTTAATACACTCTTCCTGCTCCTGGATACTGAGATGATGCTCCCATGGCTTCTTTTAATACTGTTATAGATTCATTTTTTAAATTATTTAAATTTTTGATCCATTTAAAATGTATCTTAGTGTTGGGGAACCTGGGTGTCTTAGTCAGTTAAGCACCCGACTTCGGCTCAGGCCATGATCTCACGGTTTGTGGGTTCGAGCCCCGCATCGGGCTCCATGCTGACAACTTGGAGCCTCTTCAGATTCTGTGTCTCCGTCTTTGCCCACCCCCACTCTCTCTGTCTCTCTCTCTCTCTCTCTCTCAAAAATGAATAAACATTAAAAAAATTGTTTTAAATAAAATGAACTGTATCTTAGTGTCAAATGTGAGGTGTGGCTCTAGCTTTTGCTGGTGCTCCCAATTGCCCTAATATCATTTTTTAAAAAAAACTTATCTTCCCTGGGGAGATTAATTCCACTTCTTTCCTGTGAAAGTATATCATTATATAGCTGGAATCCAGGTGGCACCTGATTATATTTTTCTAAGCTTATAAGACTTTCATTCAGATGTTTCTAGTATTGCTTTAGGTAATTTCAAATACTGTACTCCTTTTCCCAGTTGATGTTTTACTGTTAATATTGAGATAGCAGTGTTCTTTTGCTAATAGTCTCAACACTTGGCTTCTGTTCTTTCTGATAGCCTATAGGAATCATTTATGTCACAAAGATACCCATTTGTGTTCTTAAAGGAATAAGTATTCATGTGGCTAAAAAAAAATACCACTGAATACAATTTAAAATTATTTAACACAGTTTGACGAGTTTGTTTTAGGAAAGGAGTCAGAAATGAGACTGGAAAGTCTAGGTTGGCACCAGTTAAGAAGGACCTCCTTGAATGCCAGGTCTTGTTCCTGGGAGGGCAAGGGAATAGCATGTGTCACTGCATGTCACTATTCAGTTGTGAGCTCGATGAGAACCATGCTCTAGGACATTTGCCTGACAGTAGGAGGAAGAACTGGAAGAAGCAGCCACCAGCAGGGACCATTAGGGGCCACAGGAGAAGTCACGAACCCTGGTGCTTGGTGGGTGGCATCAGTAAAAATAGAGAGGTGGGAACAGATGTCAGAGCCACCAAGGAAGCAGAACCCACAGACCTCGGGATTTAATGGAGTGGGAGGGAAGAAAAGGGGAACACGTCCCAGAAATCTGGAGTTGACTTTTCATTTAGGAACTTCATACATATTTGAAATAATACAGGCTGCCATCATTTTTATGTCCTGTTCATAATGAAGTAGAAGATAAAATGCTAACCTTTCAGGCTCCTGTACTAGAATATAATTTTAAATGTTCATGTGATTTGATCATGATTTCTTTTCAAAACAGTTTCCTGACCAGGCAACACAGCTAAAATGGAACGTGCAGTTTTGTTTGACTATCCCTCCCAGCGCACCACCCATTGCGCCTCCCGGGACACCCGCTGTGGTGCTGAAATCCAAAATGCTGTTTTTTGTAAGTACCACCTGGCACAT